AGTTCAAATTCAAATGTGCCATGATCTTGCTGGGTCGACAAAAGATCTCTGCCAACGTGTTTTTAACATCATGCGGCAGCCAATTTGAAATACAGAAAGGACAGTTGCAAAATACAGCCTAGTGGGGACTGCATGTCACGTGGTCTCACTGCATACTACTTTGTCATAGTTACCTTGCTCAGTTTGGGCAGTTGTTGGGCTCTTCTGGTACGGTCTATATTTCTATAGTGTTTCTGCGTACCTGGGATTTGAACCAGTTCACCCGTGAATGGTGTCTAACAAGTTATCTCGTGTGTGTGTGTGTGTGTGTGTGTGTGTGTGTGTGTGTGTGTGTGTGAGAGAGAGAGAGAGAGAGAGAGAGAGACGGACGACGGGCGGGCAGTCAAGCAATCGCCCTTCTGTATGTGAGAGATACATGATGTGTGTAAGCGCTTCATAATTAGTGTGTACCCTTGTTAATGCGTGTAGCGCGTTCATGTGTGCGCAACACAATATTATTTGGTCGCTTTTAAGGACAAGCGGGCTATCCCAGATTTAGGGGGTTTCCAGAAATCTTAATTAACCTACACCAAAAGTGGGCTTTGTTCTACCTATAGGAGAAGTCTGGTTTCATTGTTGTGTATATTTGTTTGGTTATAAAGAAAACTCCCCATTTCTTTTAAAGAAACTGAACAAGGGGCAAAAACTTTACCTTCGATTTTCTCAAAACAGCATTTTTAGGGATAGCCCCCTTGTGCTTAAAAGCAGCCATTTAGCCTTAGCAGTACATGTAGTGATACTCACGCGGGGAGACAAACTGCCCGAACGAGTGGTGCAGACAGCGGCTTGTACCCTCCGGCTTTTGAGCCACTTCTGTAATGACTGCGTGGTCATTATATTATGTCCGTCCAGAGAATAGACTGGTACTATTTACAGTGCACCTCTATGAATGGTCCAGAGAGATTTATAAATAGATTAACGCGTGTCCATTCCTATCCATCCATCCTAAGATTAAGCTAGGCCTACCATTATAGTATGTCATTGTACGTCTGATGGTCTCCGCTGTTATGAGCCTGACCGGAGGGGGATTCCATCCCTGGTTACTCGCAACAAATACTTTCTTCTTTATGTCTAATTTTGACATATTATTGTCCCCTAACACGCTATAATTTTTCAGAAGCTGATATTCGCCATGGAACTACACCAAAATTCATGTAGTACGTTAATGTTTGTGGCATAACGCCTAGCAGGCACACAGACGTCAATATGGGTCATCGGAAGAGACACTAGACCACGTGATTTACGTATGTGCGCTCACAATGAGTGTCCCCAGAAAACAGCCCAAGGCAGAACTGCCGATTACTTGAATGACACTCCAAGTCCGTTTCTACTCTTTTTGTATCATGTTCAATCGCAGAATGTGGGTGGTTGGCGGGTGCTCTGGTGTGTTTTGATCCTCCATCTTTCCTATCAAACATCTATCGTCCTGATCTCTCCCCCTTTTTTGTGTTTGTTACTCTCTTGTAACACCTCTAAATCTTAGGCACTTATATGACCTTATTGTGTTGCAAGTGCCGTAAAATTCTTACTAAAACTAAACAATCACACATGTTAAACATACGATACCGTTCCACTTAATTGGAGTGATTGTAGAGTTCGATCTATGTTGTGATTCGTTTAGGTAATATGGCGTGTAGTAATACTTTCTCACCCCCTACCGCATTTTTTTAAAACGACGCTACATTTTCCCTAAATAGACCAGCGTCATTATTTCCGCCAAGAGAGATGTGTATTAACAGAAAGACACAATGTGTGCTGATCGTATGGTATACATTTTGTACTATAACTGACATCGGTAGGGCCTACATAATATTAAGATAGCCTACTACCGTGAGTATGGCTGGAGGGGGGATTTGTTCTTAGTTGTGTGCTGCTAATTATGTCCACTGTACGTTTTGCATTGACCTCTTTGCCCTTAGGGTATGATCAAGACCTCGTAAGGTGTGCCATATATCTACCTATATCTGCCCTCTAGAGTTAGGCGTTTGGGTAACTGAAAAGATGTAGCGGCTGTGGGCACCTTTTCTCCAGCAGCATCTATTTATTATATATATAAAAGTGTACTTGGGAGGCTTTATGCACAAACTCCTCCCTTATTACCTAACCCACAACTTTGAAACTTTGCAGGCGCCCACAGCATCCACGTGGCTAGGACATAACTTTAAAAGATACACGCAAACTGCTTTCCCCGATTTTTCCAAAATGATTTGTTTCGTCCGCGCAGATTTTTAATCTTGGGAAAGTCTGTCTTCTAAGACGCCGTTGTAATACAAGCGAGGGTTTCCGTTCATTTGCCGTGCGCATTGATGCCACGCCTTTTAAATTCTGGAGTGTACAACCACGAAAGCGAAATAGAGAATCAATCTATACATCTATTATAATATTTGGCAACTTGGAAACACGTGTGTCACTTTTCTGTCAAGATTTATAGCTCCATTCCAGTAGAGTATATTATGGTAGG